GACTAAAATATTTTTTCATTGTATGAATTTCCTTGGAAATCACCATTTTGTGATATTTATTCATAGCCACTGCACTAAAGAAGGATAACATGCAAATTCCAGGACCACTCTTATTTACCCAATCCTTATGTGCAGTAAATAGACACAGGGTAGTAATGGCATGGACACACTTCCTCTCCAAGCCTGTGGGGCAGTCAGCACACCTCAATAAGGGACTACTGCTTTCTGCTGCCACTTGTCCTGCCTAATTATTTGCAGCTAACATGAAAAATGAATAAATTTGAGTCTAGTGATTCTCATCAAGAAAAACACAAAGACTTGGAGGCAGACCTTTTCTTGAGAATTGATTGGTCAGCGTGATTTCATACCTGTTGATCGCTAATCTGGATTTCATAACCTTCTCCGGAGTAAGTAAGGTTTGCATCATACATTACCATGGCGATGTAGTGTGGTAAAAACCAAAGAACCACCTTCATGATAACCCAGAGTTACCCTAAACCCTAAAGTTACCTGGATAAATAAAATCTTGCAGGTCTCAGACTATATGAACCAGACCGGCAATTTTGAAAAGGGCCATTCAGCTTAGTTATTCTGTTAAAAATGTGCTTCGCTCACATGCTGTGTATGATTACAACCATACAAACACTGCACTCAGAAAATATAGTCAATATGTACAAAAGTTTAAAAAATTAAACAAAACCAACAAATACCTCCACCCCACTCACACATGCACTCACACAAATCAGATGTTAATCTAATTTTATTTTTATTTTAAGCAGACTTTCAAAAATTATAATAGACAGCTGGTGCTCTAATTTTACCAAAACAGTTTAGCTCTTTTTAAAGTAATGTTACTGTATCATAGCCCTTAATTGTAATAATATTATTAATAGCACCTCAAGAATACTTTTGCCCTCTAAACATGCATGTGTAAAAACCAGATATGTAGTTTGGAATCAGACCTGTATGAGTAATATATGTATTTGGAGGGCACCCACATCTCAACTAAACAAAAGAGGTGGAATTTAAGGTCGTGTGTTTGTCTGCATGTTTTCTGAACTATGATTACTTATTTAAGTAATCTCAAGAACAGAAAATTATGTAAACTGGAGATGTCCTTCTCAATAAATAAAATTGAATTGAATGATGTCAGAGTACTCTGGAGGTCTACATGGATTTGGAACTGTCAATGGAAAATTGTATTTAGTAGTCAGTATAATCTTTTAGTGATATAAGTTTGCTTA